ACTGTGTGTTGTCCTTCTCTCTCACCCGACACAAAGCTAAATCCTGTTAAAATCATTTCTCCCGTAATGATCTTAATTAGGCTTGAAAAATATATCCATTATCAATGACTCATCAGGGTGTTCTTATAATTAATCTATTAATGGTTCTGTCTAGAAATAGCCAAAAAAAAAAACCAACCCAATCATTTTAATTTACAATGAATCTTCATCGCTGACTGATTTTCTGTCTGTAAGAAGTAGTTAGAGAAGTGCATCAGAACTTTGTGAATCTGAGGGGAGCCGTCAAAGTCTTCACTGAAGACACTGAAACGAGGGGAAGTCTTTCCATATTCGTCATGTTAGTGGATTCAATAAATCACTAACTGTGTGGTTTGGTGTGAACGTGTGGGACTCGTCCATTAGAGGTGGGGGAAAAAATCGATACAGCACATTTTGCGGTGCGATATTTATCGATTAATGGCAGCCAAGTATTTTAATTATATGAATAGCAAATATGCTTTTTACATTTTTAATTGCTGCAGGGGTTGCATGATGCATTTTGAACAAGTTGCGTTGTTGTTATTGTGAAAATAATATGCAGTTAAGAAAGTTCTCTTTCTAAAAGGAAATGTTGGCAATAAAGTCGCCAAACTACAATATGTTTCTAGTGAAAATCAGACCATATGGAAACCTTTTTTGATATCACATACAAAATACAAAAATACAAGTCCTAGTCACCTAATAATCTGTAACAACTTGTTTTTAAATTACAAAAAAAAAAAGGCCAAATTCATTTTCAACATTCCGAAAGGTCGCTGACTTATTTGAAAAAATTCAGACGCTGCTCTCTCTGTTTTTCAGCTTAAGGTCAAATTATGACCGAAATCTGAAGTTTTGTTTTTTTTTGGAACTGGTAGCCTGGTGATTAGTGCGCTTGCCACATGTACAGAGGCCGTAGTCCCTCCATGCGGGTGACCCCGGGTTCAAATCCGACCTGCGTCTCTCTGTGTTTCTGATATCCCACATCATTAGTTATTGGAGGAGTTTGATCTTGTACCCTCTGGTCGGAGGTTCAGGCTGCACAGAGCCAAGAGCAACACATAGAAACACAAACGTCTGATATTCCCTGTGGGATTAAAGCTCTTCTTATTGTTGAAATCATGACCACACTTTCCAGCATTCCCCGCTCTCTCTCTTTCTCCCTGAATCCTGACTCTGTCCTCGGTCCAATCTCTGAAATAAAGGCAAAAATAAATAAATAAATAAATAAACCTTGGTTTGCAGTACGAGTGAGTGAAAGTCTGACACTTTTCCTGCAGAAGCTCGAGTGGTGCTGAAACCCGATGTGTGTGTGCTGTTAGTCTGTGTTTGGCCCAGAAGCGGGCCTGCGCTGAACTACCTGTTCTGTTTATTTATAGAGAGCCCTTAATGATCTCCAACACAACAGGCGAGCACACTGCATTGAAGAGCCCTAGATTTTTTGTTTTCTGTACCGTTGTTGGAACACTTTAGCGGGAAGGGGCAGCAAGTTCCATGATCCAATCAAGAGCAGTTGGTGCTTGTCAGCTGCGGTGGAGAGGCTCGACAAATTACATTAAACAATAAGGGGGGGAAAAACAGATTTGCAGCAGTATGGTAATGTTGAACGGGAAGGTTGAACATATTATCTCGTTGATTAAGTAACTCGTACTAAGAGATATTGATAGATAAGTAAGTTTCACATCAAATTAATTCCATGCTGCTTTAAATTGCTGATTCCCCCTTTTTTTCCTTCTTCTTAGAAACAAGGAGTCAAACAGCTAACTTCTCCCACTCTCTCTCTCTCTCTCTCTCTCTCTCTCTCTCTCTCTCTCTCTCTCTCTCTCTCTCTCTGTTTGTCTCCATCTCCTCCCTTTATCCCCACTGCCGCTGCCTGGCCTGTGGAAGCAATGCAATTAGACAAACACAAACAGAGCTCTTGAAACTGCCACGGAAAAATGCTGACTGTCCACTGGCCACAGTGCTGGCCGGGAGCGGAGCTAACTGCTGTTTGACGTGCATCACATAAAAAGCGATTAGCGAGCGTTCGTTTCTTCTTCCTCCTCCTCCTTCTTCTACTTCTTCTTCTTCTTCTTCTTCTTCTATAAAAGCTCGTCGTCAGCCCCCGAAGCTGTCGACACTAAAGGCGGTAAAGTGAAACAGCCCCAACAAAACTAACATTCCCACTTGTGAACTAATAAACTCTCTGTACTTTATTTCATCAAATGGACTTCCTGGCATTGAAATGGAGTTCACGTCGTGCCTTTGTTTGATTGGCTCTGCTACTTTGGGTTTAATCCTGCTGGTTTGGGGAGTGTTTGAGTTGGATTACTCCATCGCTGGGCCGGGGTACTGTTTCTCTGGCTTTGACAAGATGGTGTGTGGTGGTTTGTGTGCGTCTGTTTGTGTGTTTTTTGTTTTGTGGTGTGTGTGTGTGTGTGTGTGTTCTCCCTCACTACCGAATCAGCTGAAACCACAGACAGCCCAACTGGAGCGCCATCCAAATCCCTCTGCATGCAAATTAAAAACGCAACAATAAACGTGGCAAAGGAACAAGGTGGGCACGCAGGCTTTATGGCCTCTCTCTCTCTCTCTCTCTCTCTCTCTCTCTCTCTCTCTCTCTCTCTCTCTCTCTCTCTCTCTCTCTCTCTCTCTCTCTCTCTCTCTCTCTCTCTCTCTCTCTCTGCCGCTGTCTCCCCCTCTCGGCTTCCTCCAAAACCCCTCCTGGGTTTGATGTGGCTTATGGGAGGAGTTGGAACAGGGGACAACCAAACTGCTGAGTTATCTCTTGCATGCAGTGTGGCGGCGTGGCTCTGCCCTCCGTGTGTGTGTGTGTGTGTGTGTGTGTGTGTGTGTGTGTGTGTGTGTGTGTCTCTGTGTCTGTGTGCGGACAGGCAGCGCGGTGTAATCCTGTGGAAATGAAAGGTGCTGCCGCGCACTGGCCGGGAGATTACAGCGCCGCTCTGTCACGCTGCCAGGACAGACTACCCGGCTGTGAGAGTAGCCCTCCGTAACGCACACGCACACGCGCACACACACACACGCGCACACCTCGCCGTGTTTCCTCCTCGCTGGTTTCACTCGCAGGCCGTCTTTCCTCCTTCCTCCACTCTTGTCCCTTTACAACTCTCTCGTCGATTCACTCGTCCCTCGCTCTCTCACCCACACAGCACTGCAGAGTGTCATTTCCCCTCTCTCTCTCTCTCTTACTCACACACTCTCACACTCTTTGACACACACGCCCGCTGAGGTTGAGGTCATCGTGTTGGAGCCTCGGAGGCCGCGTCACTCGACCCCCTGCAGAGCCCTGCTGTCCGCCTGTGCGGCCCTCAGATTGTCACGATGAGCAAACAAACACAGAATGGAATCTCTGCAGTCGAGAAGTGTCTGTTTCCATCACTCCAGAACATTTGAAATATTCTCTCTTTGATTTATGAGTTGATGAGTTTATACTCTTGATAAACTTTTAGGATATACGTCCCAGATTAGGAATAAATAAGGACAAAGAAATAAAGTTGGAATCTTAACATTTTCATAACTGAATAATGTGACATTTATTTTATAACTCATTTAATCATTTTGTTTATAAAATCAGAGGAAAATGTTTGAAATACATTTTTTAATTTAAAATAAATCACAGGGACATTTTTAAAATCACTGGTTATGTTCAATCAAAAATCTAAAAATCAAATCAAATAAATGATTTATCTTCTAATATTTCAACATCAGCTGGAGAGAGATACCCTTCAGAATTATTCCCTCATGATTTTGTTAAACTAATTGTAGACGACCTCATTGCTCCTTCTTGTTTTTTTAATCAACATTATAGAAGAGGAAATATGTATTTTATTTATATATTTTTATATTTCACTTCAGACCTTAATGAAGATTTTTTTAAAAAGACACAGGAGAGAGCAACACAACACTGACGGAAAACAACCAAGAAAAAGACAAAAATCCCTGCTGGAGAAAAGTGACCCTGGAATGTTTCTGTAGGAAAATCAAAAATAAAAGTCTATAGTGCTGCTGGAAAGTGCAGCCGTGATTTCAACAATTTGAAGAGCATTAATCGCACATATAGGAACATAAATGAAAGCTTGTGTGGGTCGCTCTTGTACTGAATGTCCTTCAAATTTTCTTTATCTGGGTTTTCAGCACTAGGCCTTCATCAGCGTACCTGCAGCCTGAACCTCCGACCAGAGGGGACAAGAACAAACTCCTCACATAACTAATGATGATGGAAATAGATCCACAATTTCATATTCATGTGTTGGACTGATATTTGATCTGATTTAAACTAAAAGTGAGACACATTCAGATTGACTTTAAGGTTCTGACATTCAGTCAACAAAGCCTCTGACAGGATCCTCACCTTTGCCCCTCTGTGATGTCCTTCAACTCTGCAGCTTGAGTTCATGCACTCTGAGTCACAGTCAGGTGACGCCTCTTTATGCGCCTTTTTTTTAATTTTTTTTAATCAATCCAATAAAGCCTCTCTGTTTGTGTGAGTGTCCCGCGCTGCTCCTCTGCTCTGTCTTTCATGGCCCTCTGCTGGAGTGTTTCAAACATGGGAGTCACTCCGCCGCCTCCCGAGGGAGCTGCTCAGTATGCGAGCGAGTCTCTCCTCCTCGCGTTAAGTTGTTCCTCCCTGCTGTGCTGCTTGACCTTGGCTAATTCACATCTTTATATCGTGAGCTGTGACAGAAAAAACACACAGTCACTGCAGGAGCAGCAGCGATGAGACATGGACTCTGTGTGTGTGTGTGAGTGTGTGTGTGTGTGTGAGTGTGTGTGTGTGTGAGTGTCTCTCTGTGTTTTGATTATTATTATCTAAGGCCTGGAAAAAGCCTTTTTATGTATTGTTTGTTTCTCTTTGTAGGAAGGCCTCGATAAATCTGTTTTATGGTGTGATCCAGTCGTCTCATTTTGAGTGTAAAGATGTCCCTTTACTGACCTTCTCTCCCTCTCTCCCTGTGTCTCTCTCTCTCTCTCTCTCCCCCCAGGGCTGGCTCTGCGAGCTGCTGCGTTGGAAGGAGGATCCCTCTCCAGAGAACCGGACGCTCTGGGAGAACCTCTCCATGATCCGCCGCTTCCTGAGCCTGGCCCAGGTGGAACGTGACGCCATTTACGAGCAGGAGAGCAGCGCCGGGCAGCAGCAGCACCACAACGAGCGGCCGTCCCACCTAATGCACATCACCGCCGACCAGCTACAGGTGAGAACAAAGACGGCAAAGAGCCCTCGCCGTGCACACACTTATCATCCCATCGCATCACATGCTTCAGCTGAGATGGGAAATGTTTCATGGATTCAGACATTTCCTAAAATAATCTACGTGTGTGTGTGTGTGTGTGTGTGTGTGTGGGTGTGGTCCAGTCACTGATAGGTGGACAATTTAGGGATGAAATCATCCTAATTTAAACTAAACTAAACTTCACATTTGCTGTGAAGTAAAAGAAAATGACCTCAGAGGATTTTTCAGCTGTTTTTTTTTGCCAAATGTCCAGAATGAAAAGGCCCAGCGTGGCTCAACAGTCCGCTGATGGTGATACAGGAGTGATCGTGTGTTTCAATCACAACATGCACTATTTAAATCAAACACTGTGGACAAGCTCAGAACAAGACATGGGGTCAGGACTACACTTTAACATACACATGCAACAACAAATATCTGAAAAAGATGGATAAATAAGTTAAACAACAACAAGATTCAAGATTTTTATTTGTCACATGCTCATACTGATGTGCAGTGAAATGTAAAAGACTGTTTCACAAGATGCATCACAATCTACACGGTATCACTTCCACATATCAAGAACTTTAACAAGTTAACAACTGAGCTGAGAAGATTGTTTGATTGAGGCGCCGGTAGCTTAGTGGTTGGAGCACACGCCCCATGACGGCCTGGGTTCGAATCCAACCTGTGGCTCCTTTCTTGCATGTCATTCCCCTCTCTCTCTCTCTCTCTCTCTCTCTCTCTCTCTCTCTCTCTCTCTCTCTCTCTCTCTCTCTCTCTCTCTCTCTCTCTCTCTCTCTCTCAACATCTCTAAATAAAATCATAAAAAGCCGAACAGTTCAACTTGGGAAAAAACAAAAGATTTGATGAAATAAAATTTAATAAATCTGCAACTTTATTGACAACCAGTTAATCTCTGAGTCGTCTGAAAATGTGCTCGTTACAGAGTACACAGGGGTACATTTGCTGGTTCCTTTTTTTTTGGTTTTAAAGGTTTTTTGGGGGCTTTTTCTGCATTTATTGGAGATATGATGGAAATCAGGGAGAGAGAGAGAGAGAGTGGGGTAGACATGCAGGAATGGAGCCACAGGCCGCCCGCCTGGAGGACCAAAGCCTCCGTACGTGGGGCGCACGCACTAACCACTGCTACACTAGCGCCCCGCTGCTTCCTTTTTCCTTTTTCCCTCATGATAAAAATATTTATGTACTAATGATTATCATCATGTCTTAAACTCTATGTGCTTACAGATGAAGTTATCAGTGTAGAAACTAACCAGGGAATAAACTGGGAATCAAACTATTTGTTTGCTATTTAAAACCTGAGTTCATGTTGACGGCTTGAAATATCTTCAAACATTAATTTAATTCTTCGTTACATTTCCTGGAACTTTTTGTAAACAACTCTCCCGGGGGCTTTTTTATGAACTTTGTTTAATTAGATGTTCTGGGTTTTTTTTGGTTTTTTCTGTGGAAACTGTTTTCAGAGATATCATGAACCTGAACTTCTTTAAAGAAATACAGAAAAACATCTGGGAGATAAATAGGAAGACTTACAGGCATGGTTAAAGGTTCACATGTCTTAATGAAGTACAATAATGATTCCATTAAAAGTCCCAACCACGCCTGAGTACTTGATTAGATATTTGGTGACTTGGAGACGTGGCCAGAGATTTACAAAGGCTGCTTTTGTTACACAATTAAAAAAAAAAAAAGGTAATAAGGTGTCTTCCAGCTGCAGATATGGAACGAGGGGCATTCTGTGAGCACTCTGCCTGCAGACAGTACTAGTCGTAGATTGATCAAACAGGATCATTTCTGATTTAATGGACAATTTTACTCTGCTCATAAGAGACGAGTGTTAAAATATTTTGTGCTGCTCCCCTCACTAACGCCACACATTAGCCAAATCATCTCACATTTGCTCAACCAGAAGTATCATCGCTGCGTATATTGGTACAGTAAAAAAAAATCACATCTCTGGGTGCATTTATGCAGCTGGCAAACAAGAGTCGCTGCAAAGTGCTGTTTTGCAAAACTTCATTATGAAACACCGATTGGACGGCGTCTGACTCAGGAATGAAAATAAAAGAGCACCCATTCTGCGGGGTCAATGGGGACCGTGAGTTGCCCACTCACTCCCTCTCTAACCACACAATGAGACATTTTTACGAGTAACGTGTCATGTGTTTACACTAACGGGACTCTGCCGGCCCAGTGAAGGCCATCGATAGCATTCTCACACTGCGGCAAATCAGCCAGACCATCGCGGTCCACAATTGTACACGGGGAGCTTGTTTATCAGTTTCTGGCAATAGAGCCTGATAAGCAGCAGAGGCCATAATAGAGAGGCCAGTTTCCCACTGTGTGTAGGGAGGATTGTGTCTCTCCGGTTCGCGTGTGTGTGTGTGTGTGTGTGTGTGTGTGTGTGTGTGTGTGTGTGTGTGTGTGTGTGTGTGTGTGTGTGTGTGTGTGTGTGTGTGTGTGTGTGTGTGTGTGTGTGTGTGTGTGTGTGTGTGTGTGTGTGTGTGTGTGTGTGTGGTATATCCCCACAATGAGAGGCACAATCTCTCACTACCAAAAAAGGAGGAAAAAAAAGTCATATCTGCAGAGCTGATTACATTCAATGAGATGTTACATGGAAAATTCCTTCAGCCAAGTGCCTGTTCTACACAGCGGGCCCGTTTTTCCTCACAACTCAATTGATTTTAATGAAAGGCCTTATTAAGGCGCCGATAAGTGTTAACATCTGATAACATCCCCGTCTCCTTTCTCTCTCCCTCTCCCCCCCTTTTTTTTTTTTTCCCACTGCAGGCTCAGCTACCCCAGTCTCAGCAGCAGCACCAGCCCTCCCTGTCCCTCCAGCACCCCTCCCAACCCCTTTTGTCCCAGCAGCCTTTGCAGCAGCAGCAGCCCACCACAGGCCCTCGGTTGCCGCCTCGCCAGCCCTCCACCGCCTCCCCCGCCGAGACGGAGGACGATGGCAGCCAGGGAAGGAACATCAAGGCTCGCACCGTCGGAGGGAAGATCTCGCTGGAGGCTCTGGGCATCCTGCAGAGCTTCATCCAGGACGTGGGTCTGTACCCGGACGAGGAGGCCATCCACACCCTGTCGGCCCAGCTGGACCTGCCCAAGCTCACCATCATTAAGTTCTTCCAGAACCAGCGCTTCTACGTCAATCACCCAGCCAAGGCGCTCAAGGAGCCCAATAACAACAACAACAGCTCTGTGGCGACCACCAACACCAGCAGCAGCAGCAGCTCCGCCTTCGAGGAGGAGCTGACGGACTTCAGGGAGAGCGGAGAGCTGCTGAAGGAGCTGGAGGAGAACACGCAGACCAACAGCACCATCTTCTCCATCAAGATCGAGGAGCATCTGAGCCGAGGCGCCGAGGCCCAGGCCGAGATAGAACACGAGGCCAAGGAGTAGACTCTCCCCGTCTTCACACGCGCCGAGAGTTTTCATGTGAACACAGACAGACTAGTGACTGTGCTAAATGTAACGCTCGGGCCCCCCACACAGAACCACCACACCGCGAATCAAGAAAAGTAGTGTTTTTAATGAAAACAGCTCCTGGACTGTTCGGAGGAGTGTTTATATATATATCTGTAACAGACTGACAGGCTATGTGGAGGGAGCGTTCACACACTGGAGAGCCCATTTCAGACTCAAGTACTACTTTTTGGATTTTGTAAAACTTGTATTATTCACTGTAAAGACTGATGCATCATTTAAATAATCTGCACAAAAAATTATTAAGTATGTTGCCGTGGATATTTGCTGACTGCACTCAATGTCTGTTGTTTTACACTGACTTACTTTATCTTTTTTGAGCTACTGATTCTATTTAAAAAGACAAAAAAGTACCCCCCCCCCTCCTCCTGGAGTTTGTCAGGACTTTGATAGGTGTTTACGTATGTGATGTTTAACTGGATTTTTTCAAGAAAAAAAAAAAAAATGAAATCGAGGACCAAGTGGTTGACAAGGCCTTAATCATGAGGTATGGCGTGCGGCGCCTGCTGGCGGAGGAGTTCTTCTTTTAAAGAGCGCGTCATGTGATTCTGAATCAAACTCTGGAACGCGATCGCCCCCGCCCGCCCGCCAGCCTAGGTGCATCTCCGAGAACAGCTCAGTCTTTACATATTATTTGTTAGGGAGGAAATATAAATATATATATATAGACATTATATTGTAACTGTAAAAAAAAAGATACAGTCTTAAAGAAACTATGCCAACAAATGCCTTGTACTATACGGCACTGCCGATGTTAGATTATTTTGCAAAACCTTTGTCACTGTAACTTTCTGAATTTGCCACACACAGTTAGAAATGTGAATTCTCCACCATGTTTTTTATGTTGTCTGACATTATTTATTTGCAGTTCATGCAGTGTTTTCGATGTAATTACTTCCTTTTTTTTTTTTTTTTTTACTTTTGTTATGTAGAGCTTTTTTTTTTTCTTTTTCTTTTTTAACTCCACCCGTTCTGTTTTCTATTTATAAATGTGATTTTTCGATGGGCAGTAAAAACAAAAAGTGTCTTAAACGTTTTAAATGGACAAATGTGCTTTAAAGGTTGCCTATTAAAAAAAAAAAAAAGTGCTGTACGTCAACCAACTCATGCTACAAGCTTCACAATTAATGTTGTATGCAATTTTTACTATCATGCAAATAAGCTTAGGTAAAATGACTAACCTATAGAACACCTTAGAGAGAAAAACATATGCAATCTGTGTGAAAATCGATGTCTGCGATGTGTCTTCCTTTGGTTAACGATCCAATTCAAAAAGCTATTCCTGTATAAATCTCCTGTATAAAAGTGTTTCTTTTTTATGAGTTGATTTCAATGAGAACACCAGTTATTTTGTTACGACTGACTGTTTTATAAGTGTTTCTCGGTTCATTTCTGCAGAAAAATGTTCTAACTAGAAGTGGTTATTGATTGTTAATTACACAATTAAACTGTTTGTATTGTACCACACATTTCTCGGCGTTAACTTGACCAGACTCTTTTGACGGGTGGAGCGAGACCCCCCCCCCCTGCAGACGAAAAAGATGATGTGAAATGTTTTTAATCGACTCCACGTCTGAGCCGTTCAGCTGCAGCCACTGAACACAGTCTTTGTAATAAGTGTAAAAAAAAATATCACACCTTATGAATCGTTGATTGTTTATGATTGTAAATATATTTGAAGTTTGTGCAAGAGCTCGGTGTACGAATCAGCGTTCTGTCGTGCCTCTTCCTCTCAAAGCGACTGTACCGGAGCTCTTCTTCTACTACTGCTGAGTGTATCTGACGCACCTGTGAAACCTGAAATCAATAAACGGAAGGTGTGAACACCTGTAACAGCGACAGCCCTCTGCAGGGAGTTTCATAGATATGAAACAGCACAGGTGTCCTGACCTGGCTGTGAACCCCAGGTGAGGCCAGGTGTCTGCACCTTTAGGAAATTAGCCTCACCTGTTAACACCCTGCGATATGTGCCAGCCTATGTTGGCTGGCGTTCCCTTGATGTTCTGCTCTTTTTTTCTTCTTTTTTTTCATGAATAAAAAGCCAGAGTGTAACATTGTGTGTGTTCAGACCGAAAGACAATCACTTAAAAAAAACAGATCATACAGGAAGCGCCGTGCTCTGCAGGAGGATTTAAAGGTACGACGTGCTAAAAGGTAAAAAAAAAAAAAGGAGCATGTACCTTTAAGCTTTATTATTTCTTCTTTTTGACATTACAAGCGACTTATTCAGCGTCAAACAGAGGTGAAGGCACCAACAAACAACAGGAACTCTGATATAATACTCCTCCTCATCACCACTGTTTTCTAAGGATCAGCCATATTTGCGTCCGCATTAGAGAAGGTTTTTCCACACAGATGGCGACTACTTCTCGAGAACAGCGGTTCTCAAACTCAAGACGTGGTCACAAGAATATTAATGAAACGGTTTCTGGGGAAAGGGAAAAGTTTTTAATACAGAAAAATAAGGTAAATTATCCTCTAAATGGGTTCAGGAGTACAAAATAAAAACACGGTCTGTAGAGAGTTTTCAACAGGCATGACTTTCTTTGAGTGGATCACAAGCTGAACAGGTCACACATGAGCTTCTTCCCAAGTAAAAAAAAAACTGTATATTTTGTGCAAAACGGAGCTGGAGTTTCGCCACGGGTGGGTATCGTGGGTGATTGCTCAGAGAAGACTGGCAAGCACAGAACAGTTTTGAAACTGTGTCTCCATTAGGCTGTTCGCTGGCTCTCCACGGCACCAAACACACTTCAAAGTCTTTCCCCCAGATGTCAAAATAGAAATCATAATTACGACAAGAATGGTGACTGATGAATCACTGACTCTGTTGCCCCGGGCTGCTCATGCTGGTGCTTATTTAAAAAAAAAAAGAAAAAAAAGAAGCAGGCTACACTAGACGAGTTTTCCAGGAAGCATTTATAGATGATGCCACCTCACGCTGTGGTGCGCCACTTATAGAGATACAGTATCTAGCTTGTGATATTTGTAGAAAGTTATGGCAAATAAACAGCCACCACATTAAAGTTCCTGTTGACGCACGCGGCCTGCTTGCACTTGGTGGAGTCTTGGAGGTCAGACTGTCAAATAAAGCGTCACAAACAGGCGTTATGAAACTATAGAGGATGTGTATCATGTTTGATTTCTTAGGTAAGCACGATTTAAAGGTACAGGATGTCATTTCAACCACTTAATAAAACTCAGAGCTCCCCAAAACATGTCTGTGAAGTTTCTTGTTCTAAATCCACTCTGATCCTGTATTTGATCATGTCTATAAGCCTCTATTTCAGCCCTGTTCAGAACAGGCTGTTTCTGTGTCTGTAGCTTTAAATATAAATAAGCTGTGTCTGACCACATCCCCTCTCTGGAAGGGCTTGGGTGTCTCGGGCAGACTCAGAGGGCAGAACAAACACCTAGCTGTGGGAGTGTCACCACCTGGGGAGGGTTACTGCCCTTTGTGATGTCATGAAGGGAAAGTCTCCAAACGGCCTGTTTGAGCACACATTTTCTGAAAAGTGGAGCAGGTAAAAGATGGAGAGGATGGACTTTTCTAATCGTTGGTCGGTTTGTAGACGGACTAGAGACACATATTAGTTACAAAAACATGACGAAGATTATTTTTGCTCTAAATTAGACCAGGCCTTAAATTGAGATGGGCTTCAATATAAAGTTGTATGGTTTGTAAATTTGCCAGAATTAGCACTATAGCTGAATCCAACTCAATTTAACAATCACAGGACAGTCCACAGAAGAACTCACAGACAGTATACATCAAATATGGACACATTGGGACCTTAAAAGGTTCAGGTTCAGGTTACTTTATTTTTAAGGTGTGTAGGTAAGTTTGTTTTCAGCCAGAAACATCAGCATCCATCATGAAAAACAGATTACAAAACAGATCTAACAATGAACAACACATTGAGAAATTGAACTATTAAACCAACTAAAACATGATAAAAACCTAAAAACCTAAAAATGATAGTACTTAAGGTTCCACCAATCAGGGCATAAGGGAGAGAGAAGTCTCAACCAATAAGATCAATTAAAAACACAAAATAAATCATCTCTTCTGCCAGGGTAAAAATAAGTTTGGGCCATAAATAAATCAAAGTGTGTGTGCAAATATGGCTACAGCTTGTTCAGTTTAGTGCAGGAACAAAGCTGTTTTTGTATCGCCTTGTTCTACATCATGGGACTACAAGCCCCCGTCCAGAGGGGAGAAGGTGAAAAGCAATGTACAGATAAAGACATTAACCCTAACCCTAACAGACCCACATAAGATTAACTGGTTAAAATGCAGGAAGAGCCAGAAGGCTCCTGAAATGGGCATCAGAAGAGGATCTGGTATCTCTGGTATTTATCCTGTTTTTGTGCTTTTCTTGGATAAACACTTTTAATGGGTAGGGGGCGCCCATTTTAAACTCTTAAAACAAGCCGCACATCCAATTTTATACATGTTATACATAGTATATATTGACTTAAGTCCCAAATGAATGTGATAAAGTAAAGAAAATTCTACATAAACTGAAGTAAAGATCTTTAAAAAACACAGAAGTTCAGTAAATCTAAAGTCCTTCTCCGTTATAATGACCATTTTAAACCAAACCAGCAGCGAGGAAATGCAGAAGTGTAACTTTTACGAGTTCACTAGATGTAAGATATTCCGATGGTGTGTAGTTTGTTAGGATGCACATCTGCAGGATGGACACATTTAAATAACACATACATGCTCCATTGAACACAAAGCTCCAGAGTCCTCATGGAGACGTCAATCAGCAGCGCACATTAACACTTCACAGACCACTCGGAGGAATCCTGGAGAGACACCCGTTTGGGTTTCATGAATGCAGATTTAGATTGGGCAGCGTGTTTTTCTGTTCTGAAGTCGCTGAATGTTTTGTATCATCAGTTGACATCTCTGAGAAATAGGGTCAGGAACTCACCAGACGGCTGAGTGTTTGGTAAACTAGATAAACGACCCAACACTTGACAAGGCTGCCCATAAGGGGGGGCAAAGGGGGGAAACTTTCTGGGATGAATGGGGGCAACACTAAGGTTGGGTAAAACATGGTCCATCCTAAAATGTAAGCCATAATCACCATTACTTACTAACACAACAAAGAAACACTTTTTTGTAACGTTAAAGTTGTGGGAGAGCCCGGTGAATCTTGGGCTGCGTAAAGCAGCGCCGGGACCTGCATTTGACCCCAACAACAACTTGTTAACAAACTTTTTTCCTGTAAGCTCCAACAGCTGATCAGAGCCAGGCAGAGGAGGCAAATGTTAGCCAGGAGGCTAGCGCCAACACTACAGATCCAACACACATGTGATGATGCTTAGCTAGCTTAGCTTACCACTGATGGCCTGGCGGTTGTGTGGCACCACATGTACAGGATGCTGAGGTCCTCCTCATGTCGGCTACTGGTTCAAGTCCGACCTCAGTCCTTTGCTGCATGTCGTCCCCCACTCTCTCCTCCCAGCCCTCCCATGTCCTGTCTTTTCTCTGGAAATTGCAGTAAAATCAGTTGATGCATGTCCTCTTAGGGCTTCCATAGGAAACACTTCAGCCATTAAAAAGTTCATTCAGCTAATTTTTAAGTCAGTAAAATAATTCTGAGACTGTAACTTCTATATACACAGCAGTGCCAGGTTCTTACCCATAATCCTCATAATCAAGACACTTTGTCACTTTTCTTTGTCAGCACAAACACTGAGTGCACACTCTGCGTTAAGAGACCTGAAAGAGATTTATTGGGCAGCACCTATACGTTACGTTTCTGCCGCATTTAGCTCCAGATTAATAGGGAAGAGACATCGGCAGGTCTGGCTCGTGGACGGGAGTCCTCAGTGGCTACCCATGAGCCCTTGGGACTGCTCAGTAAATCAAACAGGAAATGCAGCAGAAAGCCTAATAAAGTTTTTCTAATGATTGCAATCTCTGCGGGATCACCTTCGATGTAAATCCAACCTTTTCCTTTCCCCTTCCCCCCCCTACTCCGCTCAGCTACTAAGTGAAATCCCAACATATTCCCACACACACACACAAGAAAAGGGTTTCTCATATACCGAACGTGAAGAAGCGGAAACAGAAGGTTAGGGGTGTGGGAATTAATAACATTAATCACTGAGTTGCTTTCCAAGCTCCTCTCCTGCTCTTTGCCTTCTGGTTCTGAGGAGACAAGATTAAACATGATCCAACTCAGAGGGGACTCAAATCGTCCCTCTGATCACATTAATTCAGCAACACATGAATATGCATACTGATCTCTGATAAAACTGGCACATGCCCTTGTCTTATTTTGATTATTTGCACGTTCTAACTGCTGGTATGATGGCCAATATTTGTGGTCAGATGAGTCCTGGAACTCGTCTTGCCAAAAAATGTGCAGACATCTCCTTCATCCTGACAACGACGCTGTGAGAGGCCGAACCAGCATGACTGACAAGGTTCAGATTTATCGAAGCCTCTTAAGCTTGTTTTTGTTTGCATGTGGGGTATGTGTTTGTGTATTCAACTGCTACCATGACGTCTGTAGGCTGCCGCTAAAAGGCTACGTTGGAGATGCTAATTGATTATGCTAGTTGAGAAAGGTGTGTAAGGTTTCAAATTTGTAAAGCTAACTTGAAGATCGACAAGGAAAGAGACAACTTTTTGTTGTCTATTTGTTTATTTATTTATTTGTATGCAAACCTGAGACACCACTCGGGTTAGACGCCGCTAACGATACAGGCTAACATTACGGCACAATCTGTTCTGAATAATATATGCAGGGATGTATATGCTGCTTTTTGCTGAGTCACTCTCTCTCTTTTTCTCTTCCTCCGTCACCGTCCCCTTCCTCTAAGCCCTGCCCCGTTGTATCAAACCGTACAGAAACGGGCTAACTGGCCCCTTTGTAAAAGTTACATACTGCAGTTAACAGGCAATCAGGCCGCACTGTGGACTTGATAGACCTCCTGTCCCCCCACCCCCCTGCAGGACAAACCATCAGTCTTGGAGGGACAGGGCCTTCTCCATTGCCGCTCCCACCCTCTGGAACTCACTACCAAAA